AGAGCGAGCCGTGGGTGCACAGGCCCTGGAGGGAATAGCGCTGACCCCCGGGTGGGAAGAGGAAGTTGATGTCTACGGCATCTCTTTTTACGACGCCATTCCACTGAAAATAACGTTCCCCGAAGAGAGATTGCCTGTTAAGACAGTCCTCCGATAGAATGCATGGCATTTGACTTTTGATCAATACAGAACTACTTCGGGGCAAAGACATAAGCAGGTGGCGATGAATGTGGATGGGAACGGCATTGCTGGCATTTACTAACGGGGAGTAGTTTTTCTGTGAGCAGTTTAACCGGACTCTAGTACGTGTAAGCGAACAGTATTTCCTGGCTGTGACCGGCGTATTTGTAGGTATGCTGAGGATTTCGTCCTACGCCCCGATCCCAGGAATAACGTCCTTCTCGATCCAGTAATTGCCAAGCGCGAACGATTCCCCAGAGCTTTGCAAAGGCCAGAATGTCTCTCTCAAATCGCAGTGGGTTTTGCATTGTCGCTCAGTAGGTAATCGGTTCTGTGAATCGTCTTCGGGAACCAGGAGGTCTGTCTGTCCTTCACGTTGAGAACGATTAGCTGGGGGCGTGTGTGAATGGATGCACGCACTCACTCAGACTGCATTCGCAGCCCAAAGTCCACGTAACAGTAAGTGGTCGGGGTGATCACGTTTGCTTTTTAGTGAGAGTATCTGCATCTTCGCTTGAATACTAATGCGCATGTGCACTCACACACCCACGGAACTCAGCGGATTTGTGCATTGGCTTATCTGGAAATTCACTGCTGTTGGATTCCTCAATTATCATAAAACCTTATTTCTTAGGAGTGTCAAATGACTACTTCCTTTGCCTTTTAGAGCATACTCGAATGCCTCCATCCCTCCGGTATTTAAGGCCCAAGCCTCCCTGAATAAATTCACCGTGCTGCTCTCCCGGAATTCTTTTCCTTGATCATCGAGTCTCGCAATTTTCACATTCCAAGTTAAGATTCACTCCTCTAAATCGCTTGTGTGCCGTGATCACGGTGCTAGTTAGTTTTCATATATGCTGGGAGTGAGAGAATTTGTCCTGAAACTTGGATCTTCTGTACCTGCTCTTGCCTCCTTCTCCCCTTGACAAATGTCGATTTTTTTTTTATGTGTGTGTATTTCATGCAACCTCTGGTGGCCTACTGTGGCACCCCTGTGTGTGTGTATGTGTTCGTTTGCACGGAAGAGCAGAGCTAGAGGAGTCCGGGGGTGGCCGTGTGAGCACACGTGCTTCAGGAGAGAAGGCGGGAACTGCGTGCCGTCTGCAGGAAGGGGTCCCCGCCTCACCTGGGGATGCAGGCTGACACAGAGGACAGCGAAGTCCTTAGCATTTGTAATGCAGCCCGGAGTAGAGAAGGGTTATCTGAGGAGCAAATTGCTAAGGAGAGGCAGCCGCGGCCTGGCCTCTGCTAGACACCTGCAGAGCCCCGGGGAGGCTGTTCATGCCGTCCTCCTAGGCCACGGGGTCTCAGCTCCGCTTCGGGAGCTGCAATGGAAGAGGCCAAGGTTCACGGACGGGTGTGGACTGGGTTTAACACTCCACGTCAGTGGTCCAGGTCAGACTGAGAGCCTGGGGTGTATCGAGGACCCGGAGCTGTGAGTCAGCCTTATCATTCCTTTGAAATCTGGCTCCACTCAGAGAGAGCAAAGATCAGGGTAGGAGTATCCGGAGCAGAGAGCGGGCACAGAATCTGGAATCGAGGGAAGTGGGAGGGGACAGCCCTGGTTGGGGGACACCAGTGGGCAGGTGGCCCTTCCCCATGGCCGGGAGCCAGGTCTCAAGCGTGGCAGCCCCGTAGCTGGGGGGCGTGTGAGGGCATGCCACGGCGCGGCAATAGGCCCCTAGCGGAAAGGGAAGCAAACACTTCGAGACGCTCTTAGGTCCGTTTTTATAGTTACAGATGCGTCATGAGTGCCCGAGGGCATTTCTGTGTTGCCCTACGGCATAGCAATGATTGCTCCCGCCTGTTGAGTACATGCAAACTTTCATTACATGATAATTTTGGAATAATCCCTCTTTTCAAGAGATGAAAACATTTCGTAATTAAATAGAGATGAGATATTTACGTGCAGAATCCGTGAGCGTGACTCACCCCCCACGGATCTGGGTCCCCGGGGCATTGGGGTCTTCACAGGGAACCTGAACTTTGAATCTTCTTTGAATGTTTTTTACAAAAAAAAAAATTTATTTTCTATTGCTGCATAACAGATGTACATATTTTTGGGGGTGCACGTGATAGTTTAATACATTTATATAATTTGTAAGGATCAAATCGGTGTCACTTGGATAACCATCACTTTAAATATTTGTCTTTATGCCTAGAAGCATTCAACTTCACTTCGCATCTTTTAATTCAGACGTCAGCGAGGCAGTTCTGGTTTAGTTTTGGTGTCTCAGCACGTGTGGGTTACGGCCCTGCCTTGGCGTCACGCCGGGTGTGTGTTGATCCGCATTGACTCTCCGACACGGTTGCTTCCCGCTACTTTCCTTTCCCGGCCCGCCTTCCGCCAGTCACCTTTAAAAATAAATACTTTGTTTGCCACATAAACAATAAAAGTCATCATCTGCACCCAAGAGAATATCTCCTTCTGCTTTTCCCGTATGCAGGTAATTTTTGTAAAGTGTTGATTATAAGGGTTTTTTAAGGGCTTTCTAAGGGTTTGGAATGGGCCAGTTCCTTCGATTGGTTTTTGTTGTGCTTGGCCGCATCCCTTCTTGTTCCGATTGGGTCAGCATTCACATCACCCAATCCGAACATGAGCACTTAACCGTGAGTGTACGAGTACTGAGACCTCTGCAGGCTGCTTTGGGGACCCGAGGAATGCAGGGGTCTTGCGGGGCCTAGAGGCGTTTACATTCTGGAACTTTCCGGCAACGCAGCGGAGAGTTTTCTAAGCAGCTCCTCCTCGGCGGCCTGCTGTGGCAGGTTGACAGTGTGGGTGGCTGGCGGAGTCGGCACAGCCTGACTGACCCCTCTGTGTGAGCCTTGGGGCTGGATCTGGAGTGGCTGTTGGGGGCTGATTCTGGTGTTATATGTTATACTAATCATTCGCTATAGTCTGCAATGTACGTGTGCTGTCTGACGCAGCAGTGGTCAGTATCTTCAGACACGGTTGCTGCCTTGTGACTTGATAAGAGGCCTGAGTTGTTGCACATAAGCAAATGCCCCCAACTCCCACATGGAGGGCCCCGTGGTGGGAGTCTGGAGGCCATGAGAACAAGAACGAGAAGAACTCTCCCAAGACCTGGCCGCTGATTGATGGTTGGTAGTCAATGACGGGTAAGACTCCCCATGGAGGGGGGCGACCTAAAACAGGCACAACCGTGGGGCCAAGGGAGGAGCCGCCGCCTGGGATTGAGACCAAGAAGCACTTCAAATGGCTGCATTGTTTTATGTTGCCTATCTCGGCCTTGGCTTTTGAGCTCTGTCCGGCACCTTAACTTTAGTAACCGTTTTAAGGTCTGAGATCATGGGAAATTGTTCCCCCCTTTTTTTTTTTTTTGAGACAGAGTCTCACTTTGTTGCCCAGGCTAGAGTGAGTGCTGTGGCGTCAGCCTCGCTCACAGCAACCTCAGACTCCTGGGCTCAAGCGATCCTCCTGCCTCAGCCTCCCGAGTAGCTGGGACTACAGGCATGCGCCACCATGCCCGGCTAATTTTTTTTCTCTCTATATATATATTAGTTGGCCAATTAATTTCTTTCTATTTTTAGTAGAGACTGGGTCTCACTCTTGCTCAGGCTGGTTTCGAACTCCTGACCTCGAGCAATCCACCCGCTTCGGCCTCCCAGAGTGCTAGGATTACAGGCGTGAGCCACCGCGCCCGGCCAGGAAATTGTTCCCTTTTGAAACAACTCCAGAATTGACTGATATCACTGCTATGCTCAGACGCTCACATACAAGGGACTAACCCTAGGTCTGGGGGGTATAAAAATAAAGCAACCGGTGCATTGGTCACTCGAGTCATTGTCGTGTCCATGTGCGTCTCTGTCGTTATTTTGTGTTCTGTGTCATCCCCCCACCCTGTAATCGGGCCACGTCAAGTGGCATCATTGAATTAATTAAAAACTCAATTTAGGTTTGCAGTTTTAAAAAAGAAAGTAATAGGCCCCCAGCTACCTTTTTGTACATCACACCCAACGGATGTGCTTGGAAAGCGCAGGCTTCATTTGCAGCTGCCGTTTCCTCGGGGACAGACCCCGTGCAAGTCCATTTATTCGTCTGCTGCTGTTTATCCAGACTGAGTTACGAGCTGGCCTCCAGCTCAGCGAGGGAAACTCTGGTGTGCGGGGAGTCCAGCCAGCCCCATCCGCCACTGGATAGCTGAAGTGGGTGTTGAAATTTGTTTCCTCGAGGAGCCAAGGAAGCCCCGTCTGGTCGCTGCGAGCGGGGCTGCAAAACCGCCGGACACCTGTTAAAAAGGGGGTGTTGCTCATCTTTATTGAGCAGGAGTCGGGGCGGTTTGGAGTCTTGCGTGCGAACATCTCCAAGGTCATTGGCTCACTGCCTGTAACGGGTAAGCCGAGTTCACTTAGACGCAGGAGGTGGAGGGCGACGGTCACCCAGAGGGGCCGCACGGAAGCCCCGTGCGACGTAGCCCCGGCGGCAAAGCGGCCACGCTTTCCGAAGACACCCTGCTGCGTTCAGGACGACCGACCGCGGCCTCCATCACCCCGCCGGCTTCCGCGGGTAGCACCCGGGAAGATCGAAGCCAGGAGATGTGAATTCTTTTTGCTCGGTGTAAATTTAAGCGTGGCCACGTAGGCTTGCTGCCTCTCCCTTGGAAAAGCAATTTAGCCTGCAGAAAAACAATCAAATCCCCAGTATCTTGCCATAACCAGACATTCGAAGCGGCCTGGAGGGTTCGTTATTTCCATCCGATTTCAGTCGCCCGGTGCAGCGCTCAAAGATGACCTCTGGACGGGTCCCGGGTTCATTCCCGGTGCCACCGCTTTCAGTACCTTTCTCTTTCTCCCCGCAGGATCATGCAGATTTGCGAAGCCATTTCTTCACAGTCGGGATGAAGCTAGAAACAGTGAACATGAGCGAGCCCTTCCATATCTGTCCTGCATCAGTGACCAAGGTGGGTTCCCCTCCCCTGCTCTGAGCACCCGGCCCCCGGAGTGGCTCAGATTAAGTCTCTCGACTCCAAGCCAACCCGATGAAATACACTCGCCCAGGGTATGAGCGATGCCCGGTGAACCAAAGGCAGGTCGCGTCTCTCCAGCCCAGGACTGCTCTAAGCGCTTTTTATCGCGAGTAGCGCGGGGCGAGTCTAACCAGATGCCTCCTCTGATATCACACGGAGGCGTTTTTCCTTGTCTTTGGATAGCTGTTCACCGACCAGGTGCGTGTCGTAATCATTGTAAGAGTAGCTTTTTTTCTCCTGCATGGGTCCGTAGTGAATATGATCTATTTATATTTAGAAAATACCTGAAAATAGTGAAAAGCAAGTTCTCACCTCCCCACGTGCCCTTTTCCTCATCTGCCTTCATTGACTGAAGACAAACTCATGCCTCTAAGATTTGCAAGATTCCAAATGAAATTTCCTTTTCATGTAAAGGCATTTTTTACGACGTTCTGATGATCTCTTAAGATTATAGTATCCCTTCC